GCTTTTTGTGCCTTTAGTCTACTCTTGCTTTTCGCTGTCAACACAATATTGTAAGCTTTTTTAACATAACATAGGCTTAAATGTTTTTCTAAACGATTTTAGAATTTATTATTATTATTTTAAAAAGTACAATGTTTTAACGTTTAAACGTTTTAAGCGTTTGAAATTTTATTAATAAGCAGGTTTTCCCATCTCTACGACTGTGGCGCTGCAACTGCACTTCGAAATATTGTATGAAAATTAGTAATGGCGCGGTTGTAGTGCAACAGTGATGTCACTGTAACTCCTATAGGCGTGTAATTTGAAGATGCACTTTCTTCATTAAGGCTAATTCGATCTCAACTATATATAATGAACTAGTAGATAGATTGAAGTCTATTTTGTCTATGGTATTATGAAAATGAGTGAAGGAATGTTCCTTCACTTATTTTGTGTTGAGCATGTATTTTGATGCATTGGTATTATTTATTATATCCATTTTTTTTTTGTAAATGACAATTTTTTTATTGTTGTTTGTTATCAATTAATTTTGATTGATTTTTATCTAATGATATTGAGAGTGGTTGTGTAACACCACGTACGAGATAGATAGTAACCTAGCCTTGCCGCTAGATGGCGTTGGGATCAAAACGGTACACGCTATCGAAGTGTTTACTAAATTACCATTTAAGCTGCAAAAGGAAATTGCTTTGTATCGAATCATAAGGCCTATGAGTGGTATTCCAGTACTTTCACCGGGTGGGATACTTAGATGAAACCTGATGGAGTCGTCTTTCTTGATCGTCGGCTGCCACTTCCACAAGGTGGGACGGTGAGCTAACATTGAGGATGAGCGCGATTATGTCTCCTATGTCGATCACACAACTACGTCAATAAAAGCCATTGCGCATTTGGAGTTTCAAGCGTCTTTCTTCACCCTTCCTCGCTTCGTACACTTATTACAGTAGGTCAATAACAAATGAGGTATTTTCAGTTATTTTTAATTTTATGACATTTGAAAGTACTTTTTGACGCTGTAAAGCTAAAATGTCGTAACGTGCATTTGGGAAATATTGCAGGAGGGCGATTTACAGTAACTTTTTTAAGAAAATAATTCATAACTCTAATTTTATTTGTTATTTGGAAAACTAGAAACTTTCAGCTTTTCCATATAACCAATTATAATTATGATTTTAAAAAAAGCTTTAAATCGATCTCATCTAATATTTTCCAAATGCACGTTAGACGTTTTACCTTTCCAGTGTCGTTTTGTTTGTCTCTCAAAAGAGTTAAATAAAAAGGAAACAAATACTGACAAATATAAATATATGTGACGAATTAACCAATAAAAGCCATAAGTTATGTCGCCGCGGGCTGATTGGTAATTTTATTAAGGGTAGTAAGGGAGTCAACACATCGGGAATCAGGTTGAGCCGGTTAGAAACAGCTTTATGTATTTAAGAAGTTGTGAATTTTGCGTCGCGGCGGTCTTTTTCATTTAGCTGATTTCAGAGCAGTATTTCTGGACCGTTGCTTGGCTCCAAGCACCGGAGCGGAGTAACACGTGTGGCGTTAGGACATCGTTTTACAGTGACGCGGATTGCTCCGTACGGAACCCGCACCGCGTGAACTCCGCACAAGCCACCCGTGCGTTCATTTGGTGAAATTACAGGCACATGGGACTTGTCAACGTATGTCTCAGGGTGACGGGCGCAGTGGCAGTGCCCCTCAGATCTTTGCGATTTGAAGCTCTGAGTGGCACTGCAACTGTTATGGACAGGCGTGCAGCTTACCATCAGGCACGCGGCTTGTTCGTCCCGTCACTTGATATTATAAAATTGAGGAATTGTCTATGTACCTATGACGGCCTTAAGGTGAAGTCAAAGAAAAAAAAATGTAATTGAAAAAACAATCAAATTATTTATTTTGGTTGGTAACCATAGAATACATATATAAAATTACCTATAATAACATTGATTTACATATGAATAAAATATCAGTTATTATCTAAAAAAACCTTTTTATGTTAATAATTTTGTCGTTTGTATTTACAAAAGCAAGCCACATACAAAGATGTCACACATTGAAGTTGACAATATTCTGAAGAAACAATAAATATTGGCTTGAAATCTTTCGATCACACTAAAGGCGGAACCGCACTATGCGGAACTGCTGTCAAGACGTGTTGTTAAGACATTTTTAAAATTTTTATACATTAAAACATTGACTTACAATTATATGGACGTCGGGTCCGCGTTAAAGTGTCCGAACTTATAGGGCGTTAAAATCGTATACAGAGCGTCATTCACGCTTTAGTCTTCGTTTGTTCGACTGACAGCGAAGCAAGCAAAGTTAGACAGTACTGCGATGACATTACAATTTCAATTCAAGCTTTTTCATATTCCTTTACATGTCACTACGTTTAAATAGGTTGACTTGGGACATTTTTTTCGTGGTTTTTGTATTAGACCCGTCGTCCATTTATTTGTAAGTCAATACATTAAAAGCTAATTATTCCGCTGTACCTGACGTTAAATGAAAAGTTGATATGGATCCTATTAACAATTACTGCTCGGACCTCATCTACCTGCCTACAAGAAGCCTCTACACGCCTGGCCATGAAAACCATAATGCATTACGCTATAGTGACGCTGCGCGACGCAACACTGCACTATCATATAACACGGTCAAGTCACGTTTGGAAGAGCATATTTGACATACCTGGGGGGTGTTACAGTTACGATATCATAGCGATTTAATCGTTGAACTGCTTTTTCGTATTCACGTGTGACTGAACGTCAACGAGTCCCATTTTAAAGTCGTTCGATCCAAATGTCGTTGAAGCGTATTGTATAACTCTAGCCAAATTCGATGTAGAATAAATGTCAACAAACAAAAACGTATGATTTTTAGGGTTTTCATCTCAAGACTCTTTCACAGTTACTATACAATTTCAATAATTTCCTACGAAATTCAACTAGATTGTGGATAATACTAAATCTTGAAGCCATGTTTATAATGAATATTATTCAACAGAAGTTTCAAATCATCTAAACATGACCAGTAATTAATTATTTGTAAAACTGTGTCATCCCTAGTGACTTTTTGATTTGAAGTGAGAGATTGCAAACATTCGATTTATAGTGGTAATTCAAGTTCAGAATCGGAAATAGATGCTGGATGATTTTAAATGTGGTAAATTAATATCAAATAAAATCTTACAATTTTGTTGCTTTTCATCTACCATTACCTACCATCTAGCAGTAAATATTAATAGGACGCAAAGACTTATTTTTATTCCTAAATCATACGTATCAATAGGTATTTTGTAAATTTTATAATAATTGTCTAGGTAAGTATTACTTCTACATAACTCAATTACTTACTTACCTATATAAATTCCAATTAAGGGAGCAGGCCGTGGGCAGAGCAAGCCTTAATAATGAGCATTGAAAAAAATGTTCTTTTCCTATGGGATCATTGGTTGCCTAGCAACGTTTTGTTATTAAACATTCTACATCGAATTTGGCTAGAGTATTAGTATATGAATCGAACTCAAATAGACTCTAAACGACAAGTCGTTCGTAATCTGCTAAAATTTTGACAGTTCTTTCAATAAACTTTGGACGACTAAATGTCAATTTCACAATCCAAGATGTCGCTCATTAGTCGTTACGTTTCGGTTCTACTCATATCAACGTTCGTTCAGGTGATACGTGAATACCCATTTTGGATAGGACTTCGATCGAACGACTACGTAACTTCAACAATATTTTGATATTTTGAGCGCACTACTGAAGTCTCAACCAATCACAGAGAAGAACTCGTTTCCGCTGCGAGCTTGCATAGAATAGATATTTATGTTTTCAACGATAGAGTTACCACAGCGAGAGGGTTACTCGGCGATTTTTTGTTTAATAATAATAATAACGTACACACTCAACATAGCCCCGCACTAGGGAAACCCTGTGTGGCCGGTGCCATGGACACACATAGAAAACCACAAATTACACCTTAACTCACGAGAGATATAAATGTAGGCCATACAAATATTTCTTCTATAACCTGAGAATTCTGCGTGGCAGTAAGGCATGGCAACCGTTCGGCTTCGGAGGCAGTCATTTTTGTTTTGCAGTTAATTGTTTGTTTAGTTGTGCTACGATGTTTATGTTATATTATATCTAAAAGTGTAAACTAAATTGATCTACTTCATTGTTTATACCATGAATAAAGAAAATAAAATAATTGCTCTTGTATTTGATGAACCAGATCAGCCATGTCATGTCACATGAACAATGAGTAAACGAATTACCAGTATTTTATAGATAAAGCACTTTTTTTTTTAGATAAAGCACCTACCGTAGGACCAACATAATAATAAAAAATCTTTTTAAAGCAAAGTGGGACTAAATAAAAATCGAAATCAATTATGAAAAGGTAATATTCTGCGAGCTTAACGTTATACATGGGAACATAATATGTTTCAAATATGTACTTTATTTGGTAACTTAACGGTTTTTATTTGTTAAAATAGTTTTCTTCAGATTGTGGTCAACTCACAATTTTGGCAGAGTAACGAAAGTTGTTCTCGTATTTTCTAGCGGTGGTTTAATATAAAAAGAAAAATAATATAAACCTATAAAGATATCACCATTAAGCCCATACATAGCCCATGTTTCGTAAAACGACGCATTCATTATGTGCGTATACCTTACAAACAGCCATCGAGTATATAACCAGAAATAGAGACGAAGTAAGGGCCATATATTCCTGGTAACACATTAGCGATACAGCTCTTATAAATATCAACTCCCGTTTGCACTGAAATATAGACAGGCCAACTACTGACCTGTGTGTACGTCTCCGTATATTTAAAAAAATATTCTGTATTTATTGTAATAAAGATAATATCTCTAACAATGCCGTGCTGTTCTATTCGGTGGTGTGGGAAAAACAGCAAAACATCTAATTACAAAAGAAACGGAATCACATTTCATCGGGAATTAAATATTAAATACGTAATTTTGGAATTTTCGTCCATTATAGCAAAGCTCAAGTTAACTGGTCGATTTGAAGTGAAACAGTTGACGACACCCGTCAATTGTTTCGAACTCGGGCTGGCCAATCGGAGCACAGTTGTCACAGAATTGATATGGGAGAATAGTTTGAAACAAATTAAATGACATTTCGCCTTTATTTCTGGTTATATACTCGATGCAAACAGCACATTTCGCAGGTCAACATCAAGTGTGCGTGAACCCTAAGTGTACAACGATGTATTTTTCGTTACTCAAACCAAAATCTCCTACTACTTATACAAAAAAAATATATACAACGTTATATAGAACAAGTGTAATCGTAACAAGACGATTCTTGTTGTCTCCTTTCTTCGTTTGAAATGCGGATGTTGGAGGAAGAAGCCACTGTGTCCCACAGGCCTGGCGTTTCGATGATCTACGGGAAAAATGAAGTAGTTTGAAGCGTTGACTTGATTTTGCCGTTTGATATATTGAGACAAAATTAAGATTTTATAGAATTATTTCCAGGCAATAATGTTAATAAAAAACCATCACATAGGTTGCTCCGATTCCAAAGTAATTAAGTGTTATGGAAATCAGAAACGACTGTACCACAAACACCCCGATCCGAGACAATATAGATAAGTTAGTTTCCTACATAGGCCCGGCCAGGGATCCAACCCGGGACCTCAGAGATGGCCAAACCATGAAAACCGACGTGCAAGCCACTCAACCACGGAGATCGTCAACATTATTGAGCTTAGAGAATTAGTTTGTTATTTTTAGTGACACGAAGATTTGCCGTTGACTAGGATATGGGGGGGAACTAGAAAAAGGGGGGTTTACCTTTTGAACAAGTTCTTCAAAAGCCAAGGTGATGCCTTCCTGTGTCTTGGCGCTGCTCTCTATGAAGAGCATTCTGTGTTTCTGCGCAAATGCCTGTCCAGTTTCTCTTGCCACTGCTCGAGGCTAATAAAAAAGAACAAAATATAGACCATGTGGTATAACTATTTATACATACTTTTTATACATAATATTCTCCTTCATGATTATTATAAGCTATGTTGCCTTCGGCATGGTGCAGTAGTCTGCCGACGGCGGCTGAAAACCCGATGTAAATACGCCCACTTATCACCTAACCAAGACTACGACCTTTGTTATCATTTTGCAATTATTATAAACAATAACAAAGGTTCCTTGCTATAAAATGCAGAAAATTGTTATCGCTTGTTGACAGTGCATTAAAAATTTATTTAAGAAAATACTACACTCTAAACTTGAAAAAATTTAACATTCATTGCAATTATGACAAGTTAGCACAGACACTTCACATATTTATTTTTAATTTGAAATGAGCTTTTCGGTGAATGAAAACATGGGATGAACCTGCACATCGAAGAAGGTTCACAACCTTCAGAAAAAGTGTGAAATCCGGATAGGATAGGGACTATGGGCGAAACCCTCGCCTGAGATGAGACCGGTGTCCAGCAGAGGGACGTATAAATGGGTTGATGTTGACTTTATATGATATTAGATGCAATAACAGCGATGGAAATACAAATTAATAATAAAACACCATGGTCTCCATGATAAAAAAAATAATAATAACAAACACACTCAACAAAGCCCTGCACTAGGGAAACCCTGTGTTGCGGGTGCCATGGACACATAGACAACCACAAATTACACCCAAACTCACGAGAGAAATAAACGTAGGCCATACAAATATTTCTCCCGGCCCGGGATAATTGAACCTGGGATGTTAACCGTTCGCTCACGGAGGCAATTGGTGATGAGTCTCAGCTATAGAAGATTATAAAGTACAACGTCCTTAATTACGAGCATACTGATATATACAATTGGATAACTGCAAGTGTTCTTACCTTATCAATCTTATTGCCAACAACTAAACAGACAATATTTTGCTTAGTAGAGTACACTTGCAGTTCCTCCACCCACTCATTCAGTTTCTGTAGTGTCTTTGGTTCGGATACATCATAGACAAGTATAGCGCCATGTGCATCTCTGAAACAAGTTCGTTATTTTTTTATTTTTTTTAAGTACAGTTTTAACGGCTTTGGCATAATGCCATACAGCCTATTCTTCATTTTCTTTTCTTCATTTTGGTTTCACTTTGTAAATTATGTTTCTGTAAATATGGCCGCCACAAAGAGGATAGGCAATTTGAGGCGGCGTGCTTGGATTGACTCGGGATTCCTTAAAACGGGCCGATACGGGTATTCTAGTTTGAGATTCGTATAATTTCGGGTTTTAATCTTCGATTAAGGCACAATAACACTATCCTATTCCACTTTAAACTAGATTTCACAAAATAATTGAAAGTCAAAATAAAAACGACACTTTTCCCTCCAAAAGGTCCAGAGCGAATCCCAAGTTCGTTATGATATGATAACTGACTGATCAGGTTTTTTCTTTTTTTTAATAATATCAAGTGCTGCGCCAAGTGATACGAACAAGTCATGTCTGATGGTAAGCTACACGCCTGTCCATAACAATTGCAGTGTCCTCAGGGATTTAAATCACAAAGATCTGGGCACTGTCACTGCGCCCGTCACCTTTGCCCTTCAAAACCGGAACACAGTAATGCTGACTGCTTGGCGGCAGAAATAGGTAAGGTGGCAGTACTTCCCTGGACGAACTCTTTCACAAGAAGCTCTACTGCTACTAAAGAAGTGGTCACATTTTGTGTCAGTAATTAAATTAAGCGGTGGTAGCCCTGTGGAAGAATGTTTGCTTCTAAATTGGAACGTAGACAGTTCGAATCTCTGTGGCGGTATGTAAGTACTTATGATTTTAATTTCTAACATTGCCTATCGCTAAGGGTAAAGGAAAAAACTTGTGACGAAACCTGCACTTCGGAAAGTGTGGTGTCCCCATAGATTATTTATCTATGAGTGTCCCCAGTTCACATTAGGCCTGTTGGTTATTGCCTATAGAGGAATGGCCTAATTATACTCCATCCAACCTTTTATTTCACTTTAGACATATGCATTCCTCTGAAGTTCCGCAATTATTGACGTACAGCCACAGCCAAAAAAATGCAGTCCAGGAATAGACTCTTTTATTTTTTATTTTTAGTGAAACTACGTGCTCTGTAGCTCCGATATTTATCGACCCAACAGATTATGTTAAGAACATTACTCAAGTTGATAAATTTTAGTCCTGTGTAATAAATTATAATGAAATGAAATAAATTAGAAATAATTATAATAAATTCTTATTGTTTATTATAATGAATCGTGAGATTCTTCTCCATATGAACGGGAATCATCACTTGAATCCTCGTTAACATTAGTCATTAATTCTTGAGTACACAAATTGTCAAACGCAACATCACATTCCAATCAGACAATATCTTCTTTTTAGAACCTGCTCACATTCTCGATTAAAACTTTTTCATAAATAAAATCGAATGTTATAAAAATCGAATCGGAAACGCATTAGGACATCACTAATGCTTAGAATTGTAGCTGTCAAAACTTAAATAAATGGTTGGACAGAGTATAAAAGTATGAAAGTGACACTAACCCAAGCCCAGTGGCCACCATTAAGGAAATAGAATATTCTCTGTAAATTTATTCATAAGAATCATATTCAATTATACAATACAATACAAAATGCTTTATTTCTCTCAAAAAGGTTAACAAAATGCAGATTTGTTACATTTCATGTTGAATATGAAGCACCTTAGTGAGAGCTGGAGTCTGTACTAGGTTGGGGACCTGTGTTACAGATCACCAGGCTCACACCCTTTTGACAAGTTTACCAGAAAAGTAACACTAATAAAATTTAACAAAAATAATGAAAATCAAAGAGTAAAATAAAATTGACAGCTAATTAGAAAATAAAACAAATAGAAAAAATAGAAAATCTCTGTGAGTGTGTGTTTGGGTGCGTGTGTTTATGTGCGTGTACGTGTGTGTGTGTGTGTGTGTGTGTGCGCGCGCGCGTTGGGGTGTTTATATGTGTAATATTACTTATTTTAGTATAGTTAATAGTTTTTCAGTCGAGTCATAATTATTGTGTGTGATCAGCCAGTCAGTAATAATTTTAAAAGAATACTGTATATCTTATTATATAAATTGTGAATATTGTTCGTATATTAACACTATATTAGTACTTAAAAATTATACATTGTTACTAACAATTTGTGTTGTCTAATTTGTGCTGTCTCTTTTGTTCTAGGGATCAACTTATGCAAAAATGTCTTCGACAGTCCCTCTGACTCACCGAACATACTTTCGTTAAACACTTCCTCCATGATGTTTATGAAACCAACACATAACTTACACTGGTAGAATTGAGACAATATACTTGGTACTTGGTGCAATGGGCTGGTATCCGCAACTCGACGACAAAGCGCCTATTTTACGTGTGGTTGAGACAATATATTAGTGTCACAAGCCATTCATTAAGAATAAAAATGAAATAGAATAGAATAGAGTATAAAAGTAAAAATCTCATTTGAAGATATTTTTCTAAGCATTTATGATTTAATACCTGGAATCGACATATTATATTTTGTTATAAAATCAAGCACAAAACATTTCCAGTTTACGATAAAGATAATGATAAATATCAAAAAGTACTAGATCTTGTGCCAAAGTAATATTTCTGATACAGAAAAATACTTACCATAATAAGAAATAATGCTATTACAAAAATTTTAAATATTTGCCGGAGAAGTTGCTTAGCTACAAATCTCTACAGCTACAACTGTGGCAAATAGAAATAATAATATGTTCTCCAAATTCAGAGATTATGATAAATCTAAATTGTTGTATGAAGACAATGTTTACTGTACAATTTCAAATACATTACTTTGATACTGATCCTGGTTTTTTTTGTACATAATTCGGTCTTTCTTCCCACTGACCTGTAAAAACTGGAAGTCAATGTTCTATACCGCTCCTGCCCCGCAGTGTCCCAGATGCCAAGCTTGACTTTGACCCCGTTCACCTCCATCACTTTGCATTTATAATCCACACCAATAGTGGCTGGGAATTGAGCATTGTAATCACCGGTTGTGAATGCTAGGATTATGCTGGAAATTACATTACACAATGTAGCGCATTCATTCTTATAAAAGTATAATTAACGAAATACCTTGGAGCTCAGAGTTCACTTCCTAACATTTCTGATGCCGCTACAGTAGAGTGAGTAAGATCAATGTGAAACCACTATGTGGACATTTACATACAAGCGTAGTGACCGTTATTAATTACCTATCTATAGATCATGTTATTCTGGTTGTTGCTTATTGTGCTAATATACTTTGTATCACGTTTTATGTTTAGTATATTGCAATAGGTTATCTATCAGACAAACATTATAAGGCTAAGGCCAACAGTGCTCAAATACTGTAGAGAAATTTGGCACTTGACAGGAAAGTCATTAAAATGCTGACCATAGCTGTGATAAAGTGACAAATTGAAGTTACAGAGCTTAGAGAAAGCAATGAATGTAGATTCTGGCATGAGGCAGGTTAATCTTCTTTGCATGTCCTTATCCAATGCTGCCTCTTGATGAACACATGATATTCAATAGTGGAAAGGTATATGCCTCGACCAGAGGAGATTAAAATGGTCAAAGCAAGAATCCTTCCGTGCTTTAATATTGTTGGCCTTAGCTCCGAATTGTAATCATCAAATATCAAAAATTAAAAGGACATCTGATGTCCTGCAAAGCAGTAGTAGACCTTTCAAAAGTTAGGTTATCATATTGTATAATATGGGACACCTGTTTTATACTAAATGGCCCAACTGCATATTCAATATATTCTTCTTCTTTTAAATATTATAGCCCCATCGAAATAACTGATTATTTCACCAGTGTCAAATAAAAATGACTATGAACAGTAGCTTTGTAAACATAATATAAAAATTATGGCAGACGACGCCATTAGCAAGGCCGATGTCTCCCATAGTCATAATTGATATATATCATGTATATATCCTTGGGGGTAATGGAATTACATGTGACTAACAATTGATTAAGTCTCCATTTTGGTAATTTACTCGACAAACCAAATCGGCGTAAATGTTGTGGCAACCAAATTGGCATGATTTACGGGAGTCTATTGTTATCAATCCGTAGACAATATAAATTAATGTTTACTGTACCATTGAAATAACAAAGTAATAGTGTTAAATCCCTTTCCTGTGAAATTTGGTTTGGTACGCACTTTTCACCAATACTACATATGCAGATTTGCACTATCTCCGATGACATTACATTAGACAAGATTACACACATTGCTCCGATCCCAAAGTAAGTAACTCAAGCACTTGTGTCATCGAAATGGGAAACAAAGATGGTACTACAAACACCCACACTCGAGACGATTTAGAACCAGGGTTCTCAGGGACGGAAACACCATGAAAACTGGTGAGTAAGTCTCTCAACCACTGAGGTGGCCACATATATTTTTTTTGTTCATGGCCTTGGAGTCACATCCTTCAGTCAACATATTACTAACATTTTGACAGAAGGACTTGAATACATATTCAAGAAATAAATTTTTTTAACATAGAAAGATATTAAAACGGTAATAGTAACAGCATAATATTACAAATTAATTAAATTTCTTCTACCATATTTGTTTAAAAAATATACAGTCAAATGTTTATGTTTACAATATTATGTAAAAAGCTATAAAAATAACAAAGGTTACTACAAAAACTCATTGTTTATAACCTTAACAACAAGGTCATTTTTTCTAACAAGGAATTTATATCATCTTATACAAGCAAAATAATAAATCGTAGCCTTCGTCTAACCAAGTCAAGGCAGTTTGATGAACAATGTTCTGAATCTGTTTAGTTACTCATTTTTACAGTTAAATATGAATTTCACGCAAGAAATGAGGCATCAAATGTTTATATTGCAATGTTAAACGAAAAAAACGATGATTCATGCTGTATTAGTGGATAATAAGGTATAAGCGCGCAGAAATAAGGCACAGGATAAGTTACGTTTTAAGTACTAAAATACTTACCTAGACTTGCCCACACCACTTTCTCCGATTACTAAAATCTTCAATGTAGTCACGTAATCCATTTTAATCACTTTAAGGCGTAAATCAACACAGTTTTTGATAACGATAAACTTTAAAATTGGTTTGATGTTAGGCAACCCCGGAAGTGACCGCTATTTTCTAGAAAGCACCTTATGAACGCACAAATTATGTCTGAAGGGTAAAAATGATTTAAATGTTGTAATATATTAATGTGTTTTTATTGCTTTTGTAATGAAATACGCGATAAAATAAGGCAAAACAAATCTGACAATGACGTTTTGCGTCTTTAGTGTTTTTGACGTTAGGCTACGTTTCGTTTCAAGCAAAAAACGTTTTGATTTCAATGCTTAAATACGCGTATTTTTTTAAATATTTTATTTTGGTACAATATTTTTCTTTTTTTAAACCGATTTCAAAAAGGAGGTTCTCAATTCGACTGTATGTTTTTTTTTGTATGTATGTTACGCGATAACTCCGGTATTTGTGAACCGATTTTGATGATTCTTTTTTGTTGGCAAGAGAGTATCTCCATAGTGGTCCCATTTAATTTTGAAGAAAATCATTCAACTCCAAGGCTGGCTGTTCACGCATGAAGATTCATTTTTATAAATAACGCCAAAATTTTATTTGGAGCAATTATTTTAATGGTTGATTTTGCTATTCTCGAATTCAAGGCGTTTTTCTCTGAAAATACTTTGGAGTAGTGAGAACCGATTTTTCTTATCTCCTGTGTCAAGTTCCGTATAGTGGCGAACCGACTCAACCGATTTCAATAAAACTTGTCAAATAGATGTAATTTCACGTCGTGAGGTCGATTTTTTTAGTAGGTACTCCGTACTGAGATTATTGTATTATTTTATTGATTATCATAATGTTTTCACTAGCATGATTTTATTCATATTATATTTTTGTTTACTGCACTAATTTGTCGTTATTGTTGATACAAAGAACAAATAACACACAAAAAAAAATTATTTCGATCTAACGAGACTCAAACCAGCGTCTGTTGTCACACCGGTGCCAACGCTCTTACCTACAGAACTACAGACCAAGTCACCAGATCTTACGAATTTGTTTACTAAGTTTTAATTTGTCTGCAATAAGCAGATTTTTGTATAAGATTTAAACGATTTTTTGTCGTTGATGCAAGCTGTATTAAAAAATAAAAAATGTCAAAAAAGACGCAATAGGGAAAAATTAACGCATCCATGTACTAGATTTTACTGTGTATATTACGCGATTATTTTTTTTGTTGGATAGAGGGTAGGTACATCAGTACTGCCGTCTGCTAACTAAAATTCGGATAAATGCATTGACTTACAATTATATGGACGTCGGGTCCGCGCTAAAAAGTGTCCGCACTTGTAAGGCGCTAAAATCGTATACAGAGCGCGACACTCCGCTTTAGTCTTCATTTGTTCTACGGACAGCGCGATACTGCGATGACATAACAATTTAAATTTCGAATAGGTTGACTTGGGACATTTTTTTCGTGGTTTTTGTATTAGACCCGTCGTCCATTTATTTGTAAGTCAATGGATAAATGACATAATATTTTTTTGAGATATCATAAAAAACCATAACCCAGTTTTAGAATATTCAAATTGTTTAATGATATTTCAGTTATGCATCGTTAGGGTAAGTTCCTGTAAGTCGAAGTTTTTAAAAGAGAATTTTGTGATATACTTTTTGCTATTTAGAACGGTTATTTGATCATTTGTCACGTAGCCGCGTTTTAATTAGTAGTAGACGGCAGAGTAGTGGTTCCATTTCAATTTGAAGAAAAAATATTCCACCTCTAAGGTTTGCAAACTAGGAGGTGAATCAGGTTTCAATGAAATTGGCAAATAGATTCCACGAACTTGTGGGGTCGGTTGTTTAGTTGTCTGTACTGAGATTAAATATAATAACTTTCAGTGGGTGGATTGCGGGACGCGAGGGGCGGTTCCCCTCATACTTCACCTCCTAAAATCCAGGCTCGTGTCCAAATATGTACCTCGCCTTAAATGAAATTAGTTGGTTTCAGTTCTATTGCTTAATTATTCAAAATAATAACTAAGATTACTTTTAAAGGTTACAGGTCTATCGAAAAGTTCAACTGCGTGGTTTCGACGGTGTTATTCTACTAAAAATAATTAGCTATTTTCTTAAAGACTCGATTCTATTCTAAGTTGTAAGAAGAATTCTATTCTATGTTATGTAGAGTCGAATGTCTGTCGAAAGTCATGTTTGTCGCCTATAGTATATCATCTCTATTTTCCCATCATTAAGGTACATATTTGTGTTATGTAAATATGGAAACAGGCGTCGACGCGCGTCGACCCTCGGATGCAACCGAGCGGCTTCGTCGTCGTCACTTGAGCGCAGTGAGTCGTCAGACGCCGACCACAGGCGTTGTAGTTGAAAAACAGGAAGCGACGCGACGCTTCAACTCTGCGCCAGTGTGAGTTCAGCCTAAGACCAACATAAAATTGACATGGTTGTAGGAAGAAAATGGAAGCGCTGAAATTACGGTGCTCAATTTTCAGCCGGTGTAGCGCTACATTTTTTAATACTGAACTCAGTAATGTTTTGTTGTTATTTACGAGATTATATTAATATTTTTTCAAAGGAATATTTTCAATTCTCTATCCAGGCGTTGTTTCCAACTGGTATTTTATTCAAAAGTTACTTTATTTCTCTTTTCTAACTTCCACAACTTGTGGAGCGGTAAAGTTTGTAAAATATATTTTTGAAATGAATTTATAGTTTTGATATTTTTCCGTTTGCGGTGAAATTAAACTTTGTAACAACGAGGAACTGAAAGAAAACTTAGAACTGACAGGCGCTGCAGTGAAAAAAATCCGGTTTTACCGTTTGTTTATACTTTTTATTTATTAATTAGTTTCAAATTCGACGACATTGGTACCATACTTAGTTAGAGTAAATGATGTAATTTATTTATTTGTTTGCATCGGTACGTAGAGATGTAATTTGTTTCGCATAGCTGCAAATTAATATATTTTTTATGATTATTTTAGTGACGCAACAAGTGACAAGTCGTGGTCCTGGTGTTAAGTAACATGTATACTCCGTTCAACCCTTCCAACTACTAAATTAACTTTTAACAGCTCAAATTCTAATCAATTACTGATATCCTAATACGTTTCCGATTCGATTAACAATCGATTTTATTTATGAATAAGATCTAATCGTGAATGTGAGCCGGTTCAAAAAAGAAGATATTGTCTGACTGGGATCGTGATGTTGCGTTTGACAATTTGTGTACTCAAGAATTAACAAATAATGTTATTGAGGGTTCAAGTGATGATTCCCGTTCATATGGAGAAGAATCCGGCAATTCATTACAATAAACAGTAAGAATCCATTATAATTATTTAATTTCATTATAATTTATTATACAGATACAAAAATTGATCTACTTGAATAACAACAGACAGCCAACAGATTATGTGACGAAGATAATCTTGCTATATAATCTGTTGACTCGATAAATATCGCTGCTAAAGAGCAAGTCGCTTCACTAAAATAAAAAAAAGAGTCCAGGAAGTATTGCATTTTTGTATCTGTTGCCGACGCAAACCGGAGTGAGTCGAAGTTAGCCGACGACGGCGGGGTGGGGCCGCGGGGGGCGCATATGGCCGTCTAGTAGGAGAGACCCAATTGGGAGCTTCACTCGAACAAACGTTATTTTTTACTTCATAAATTCTTTCACAAATTTGTATAGTTTTTAAAGTGACAAATTACTCTGATTGAAGTTCATAGTGCATAATTTTACCATCTTTTATTGGGCTAAAACATTGACTTACAAATAAATGGACGACGGGTCTAATACAAAAACCACGAAAAAAATGTCCCAAGTCAACCTATTCGAAATTTAAATTGTTATGTCATTGCAGTATCGCGCTGTCCGTAGAACAAATGAAGACTAAAGCGGAGTGTCGCGCTCTGTATACGATTTTAGCGCCTTACAAGTGCGGACACTTTTTAGCGCGGACCCGACGTCCATAAATTGTAAGTCAATGGGCTAAAACCTTAGAATAATAACGCATAGAATGATAGTTTCATATCAAACGAACTGTCACAAGAGAGGCAAAAATCAAATTCATGTAGGCTAGTTTTAGTAGTAGGTTCATTTTGGGTTTTAGTGAATATTTATATAAAAATACAAGTTGAAACGCGTTACTTCCTTGTGGAATGTGATGTTAGTATCTATTTTATGTTTGTCTGACGTATTTTTACACTCATTTATCGCACATTTCGTCATTTTTAGCTAAAATTCTTGATCTGTTCGCGGTGCAAGATGACCTTGAGCACTGAAGGCCCGCCCGCTCGTGTAGGCCCATTGGGGGCGCTTCAATTTGCCTCACTTAGCGTGTGCGGACTAGGTTTCTATGCGTTATTATTCTAAGGCTAAAACCCACAAAAGCTGCAGTGTCTATGGTTGTATGTCAATAATTACAGAACTTCAGAGGCATGCATTATGTCAAAAGTTAAATAGATGGTTGGACGGAGTAAAAAAGTTGCAGTGCCACTCAGAGCTATAAGTCGCAAAGATGTTACACTGCGTCCGTCACACTGAGACAGAAGATTGACAAGTTGACAGAACGCTCGTAATACTGTTTGGCGGCAGAAATATCATTATTTCGTGACAGTACGTTCCTAGACGATCTCTTTTACAAGGAGCTCTGAATGGTAACTGAATTTTTGATATGTAAAAATCAATTACGTTACAACTGGCGGTGTATTTAAATGAAAAGTTCCACGAATATTACTGCCTACGTGGCCGAACGGTTACCATGTCGGACTGCCACGCAGAGGTCCCGCGTTCGTCCCGGGACGGGAGAAATATTTGTATGGCCTACATTTATTTCAGTCGTAAGTTTGGGTGTAATTTGTGGTTGTCTATGTGTGTGTCCGTGGTACCTGCGATACAGGGTTTCCCTAGTGCAGGGTTATGAATGTGTACCTTATTACGTTACCAATAGTACTTTAAGTTTTTAAGGTAATTACACTTATATAGCAATAAGTACAAACCATTAAGAATAACTAATTGCTTTTAGTCGTTTAAAAGTCACAAATGGATCACTAGTAGGAATTGATCAGGCGTTATTTTGCTAAAGTCCATGTTAATAAAGATGGAAGTAAATTAATTTGCTCTTATAACATTCTTTTTTGACGGAGAGAAATCTTTATAGATA